TATCTCCTGAGATTTCCACAATCCATCCTGCTTTTGTACTCCCATTATTTGTGTTGAAATTACGCTGCAGAATACTCATCCGTCTACATTCTTATCAATCCCACCAGGTCATGAGCTCCTTTTCATGAATACTATTATACCTACTGCCTAAAATCACTTGGCACATAGTACGAATTTTTAGCTACAAATATTGTTATTATTTGCATTCCTCAAACCTCTTGCATAGTGATCATGTTTTAAAAATATTATTAGAACAATTTTGAATTAATTAATCAGCAATTAATTAAAGCTCTAAGAATGAATGAACTCTTTTAGTGAGAAAGAACAGGCTTTCCTACAGTAGGTAGTAGAGAAGTAGAGAGACACTACGAACAGTATTAAAGAAAATGGCTAGGAACCCCAAAAGAATAGAATAGAGGACACTTCTAACAATACTTGGGTATATAACCTAGTTCATAAATTATCTTTGAAATACAATATTCTGCCCGTCTCCCAGGATGAAGACAGATTCCTCAACCTATCAGTCACTCTATCTCTGACTTAGCCTGGAGAACAGTGAAGTCAAATGAAATGGTGGTGCATTATCTAGTTGTGTTGTCTAGTTTTCTCTGTGCCTTTTATGTGTAGGTAGAAAATAATTAACAAAGGTAAAAATGATGAAACCTAATTTGAGGGTTGTTTTTTATTCTAAGAAGTGTTCAAAAGAATATATCAAGGGAATTTGCCATATAAAATGACTGCTCATTTTTTTGTATCAAGAAAAAGAATTAATTTGTGAATTGCTCTTGGATCACTTTATAAGAATATACTTTTGCCAAGGTTTCTATGTTATGGTTTTTTGATGTGAGTACCATTTCTTTTGAAGTTTTGTTGTTTTTAGTACAGCCAAGTTGACTGGATTTTTTAAAGTGCTATTTTTGGACAAATACAAGTGGAAATTAATCATGGTGCCCAAGTGATGGTCTGGGTGTACTATTTCATTACTTTCAGTTTAGTCTGGGAAATATGTAACCAGTTTTTCACCCAGAGAGTAAAAATGTTCCAATTTATTAGAAAGTACTTGTTATTGGAACCAGCTAATGACAGAAGTGTAATAACAGAAACTATCCCCGCTACTTTGGTGCAGGGCTACACTGGCCAGTCACTGTGCTGAGACAACAGGTCTACATCTGCTGAGAAAAGTTTGGAAGGTGTCCCTCTAGATAAGACTCTTTAAAATGCAAAAATCTCTGGTAGGAGCAACTGTTTCCAATATACCTTCATTGAAAGTGCACTTTTTTTGAGAGAGAGAGAGAGAATTTTTTAATATTTATTTTTTAGTTTTTTCGGCGGACACAACATCTTTGTTTGTATGTGGTGCTGAGGATCGAACCCCGGCCGCACGCATGCCAGGCGAGCGAGCTACCGCTTGAGCCACATCCCCAGCCCCTGAAAGTGCACTTTTTAAGTATTCATGAGATACCTGGATTGGCAAACAAAATATCAAACTTTCAAATTTTGTAAAGAGCCAGTGCCTACAACAAAAATTATGGTGCACATAATGCTGATTCAGCAAATTGCTATAGATCATTCAATGTGTTTTAAAAGCCTCATGATATTAGTATCCCCCACACCAAAACACACAAAATTATCTACAGTGTGCAAAATGCTGGCTATGAATTTGATGAGTATTAGAGAGATCAAAAGAGAGTCTGAGGAGAAGAAAATTGGCACGAAAAGCCTGAAGGATCCTCCATCTTCTCCCCACCCCCAAGTTATTTCTGAGGCAAAACTCCTACAGGCAGACTTGATCTTGGTGTTATCTCCTCAATACTAGGTCCTTCCTTCTTTGCATCACCCTACTTCTACTGACCTGTAGCTTTGGTCCTTCTAAGGTGCCTTGTTATACAACTTCAGCTAACATTACCCATAGAGTAGTGAATACAGAGCCAGTAGTGCCCAGCACACATTGCCACGTAACATCCTTGCATTTCCCCATTTTTCTTAAGGATCTGGATCACAACAACTTTAAGGCTCTGATCCCATCCCATTTCCCTTATGGGATAGAAATCTTCAATTTCTACCACCTACAAAGTTTCATCTTTTCATAAAATGGCTTTGGTTTGTGAGTTTATGAATCTACATGAAGGAAACCCTGAAAACCAAGAATAAATATAAAGATCCTGAAGTCCAATTACACTTGAACATCCCCAGTGTGAAAGTGATAGAATGAGAAAGACATTGTACAGTGAGACAGGGAATTTGGATCTAAAACAACTGTAACAAGATTGCTATGCCACCTTGGGTCAGTTACATAACCAAAATAAAGGAGATGGAATAGATAAATCACCTTGAAGGTGCCTAATAGTCCCAATGTTTTATAGAACCTTGGAATACCACCTGCAGAGTGAGGGCATTTGAGTCACACACAGCCACCCCATAAAGAGCAATAGGTGGCCATTGAAGATTTGTGAGATGGCACTAAATGTTCCACACATGTCAAGCCATAGGCCTGTGCAACAGGGAACTTACTTTACAAAGCATATTCCTGCTTCACTTTCTAGCAACAGCCCTTTAGATGATTTTTTTTTTTTAATCTCTTTGTCTGGCAAATCTAGCACATAGCTGCCACATTTTCACCTGCCCACTCTCATCTGCTAATGTGAACTGCCTCCCACTCTTAGCTACAACACCCTCCCCAATGTGACAACGCTAACAGAGGAAAAGTATCTACTAAAAAACCAATATCTACAGCTCTTGATATAGGAACACTCTCACTTTAAACAAATCTAGCATTTGCAAAATCTGTACTTACAAATACATATGTCTGTGTGTGACAGATGATTTGCTTTGCAAATGAATTTATCATGGAATTCCTTAAAATTCTCTTTGCCTTCACCATCTCCACCACAGATGATATTGTACACTTTTTTTTACTTATTCCTAGTTACTCAAGAATACAAGTAATGGAGGGATTCTGAATTCATAAAGATGAATGAAAAGCAAAATGCATTTCTTTGGAGTCTTCTAGCTAATATCCTCCATTTCCCTGCTGTATCTGTTATATTTTGTATATCTAGCACCACCTAAAAGCCACATGGATTTTAAATACCTTATGGAGTCCACCATGACATAGTAGTTCTCCAGGAAACTGTCTGCCAGAGCCACTGGCACAAGAGCCAACACGGCTGAAAAGAGCAGCCAGTGTTGCTTTGTGAAGGTTTCTAAGGCAACAGTTATACCTTTCTCTTGTACTCAAGTTAATAGCTGTCATTTGGGGGCCTGGTTAAAAGGAAGGAGTAATTCTGCCTCTCTACACAATGAATGTTAATAAACAAAACACTAACGACATTTCTGGGAATGGCAGAGTTATTTTTAGAAATGGTGGCGCTCTGGAAAATTTCATCTTTTACTGTGAAATGCAAATGTAATTTCCTCAGTCTATAAATGGTAAACTCAATCATGTTTGTTTGTTTTTTCAAACTTGAATTTTGTATGTTTTAGATTTCTTTACCCCAGGGGTTCCCTTATCTATATGTGCACACAGATGAGAGCAGGAATGGTGCCCACCCTAGTTTAGGGTAGGTTGTGAATTACCTCTCTGATGCTAACAGCACCAGTAAGCCAAGGGTTTCATTTCATGCAGTTGTTGGTGTCCCCTTAGAGGCTCATGTAAGCTAAAAACTAACAAAAACAAAAGGACAGTCATTCTATTCTAATATATATATATATATATATATATATATATATTTTTATTAATATATATATATATCTAAATATATATTTGTTGCTTTCAAAGAAGAATGAGTTAAGGTGTTGTATAGAAGTATCAGCATGAGTGCGGTGGGAATGTGTTGTGAGAT